AAAAAAAAAACACCTGATGCTTGACCTCAGGAACGAACTTTCTCAGGCAGCTAAGGGCACAGACACTTGAAACCTGGTGCTGGAAGGGCTTTTTTGGTCTTCTAGCAGGGGGCCTGTTAACTGGACTTGGCGTTGAGAGTCAAGGAAGACTGCTCGGGGAGGGACACGTTTGAGTTAAACGACTAATGGAATAAGGCAGACGGAAGAGACAGCAGCGTCCAGGCACGCCCTCCGGTTGAGCACTTCCTTTGTGCTTCACAGAGGTGCTGCTCTTGAGGTCGGTGGGTTTTCTCTACAGCTAAGTACAGGGAGTGAAAGTCACTAGGAGGCCTCGTATTCAAGGAAACTTGATCATCGGGCATTCTTTAGCTTAAGCCGTGAAGTGTTCGTGGTCCCGCCAGCCTCTTCCTCTGTAAGCAGCAGCATCTCTGAATATTGGTGGCATCTACAGAACAGTGACAGGATGGACGTGGTGACAGGTGAGCGCTGATTGAATGTGGACAGAGAAGGGGTCCAGAGCAGCGGGAGTGTCAGCGAGTGCTTGTAAGGGTACGTCTGTCCGTCTGTCCGTCGGCTGCTTTACCTGGTCACCTAAGCCTGTTGCTCACACCCACGTCTTCCCAACTGTGAGTTCACACACACAGTCCTGTGACTCGCATGAGACATGAGGTCAAGGGAAGGGTGAGTGTTTCGTCTTTGGATTGGGCCTCGCTGGGAGCACTTCACAATAATGTAGTCTTTGTACTTTCCTATGAGCCTGTGAGAAGTGGACCCTGGCTCAAGGTGGTGTGAGGTCCTTGGATGGATGGATGGGCTCTGGGAGTGATTTGCCACAGGCCACCTGTGTGAACTGGGCAGGCGACCACGGTCTCTCCAGCCTCATCTCAGGCTGAGAGACTTGGACTAGTCAACCTGAAAATCCTGTTAGTGCTGAAGTTTGAGGTTACTGAACTTTTTTCTCTTCAAGCCATTTTGGAGGAGGTGGCGTCCCGGACCTCCTTTTCCTCCTTCCGTCACTAACAAATGTGATCTCTCCTGTACCCTCGCTTCCAAAGGGCCTTGTTGGTGACAAGCATCCTCGCTCCAGATCATTCCGTCTC